AATATCGAGGCAGATAGCGCTAAAAGTCTAGTTTTAAAATAGTTTTTTAATAAAAAATAACGGCTCTTTTTACTTTCAATCATTCATTCGCATGCATTCTTGATCAGCTCGTCAAGATCCATCGATTGTATTCGCATTTTCTATCGAAAATATATTATCAATGGCAATTCAGTGTAAGAGAAGTTAATGAATTTTTGCAACGAAATACATTTTAGAATACTAAAAAAATACGGAAAACTACATAAAACTGAATTCTCTATCGATTTATATTAAAATAAAAATATTTTAAGGATGGATCGATTCTTGAACATTTTCAATCCCGTTCTTTGTTTAAAATCCGAGTAGAAACTAAATAGTTTTGAATGAAAAGAAGAATTCACGCTTTATCGTTTTTCTTTGGATAATAAACGTGTTAAGTTTTTAAGTGTATATTTAGAATTTGTTCATTCATTCAAATTCCTTTTTCAATTATGAAAGAAAAAGTGGAATAAAATCAAAAATAGACTTTTTGTCTTCTTTTTCTTCGTTTCATCTCTATATACGTTATGACACACACTTAAACAAATTTGTTTTTAAAGTCAAGTAGTAAGATATTGAAAGAAAAGAATGGCATCTAGAGCAATGCAGGAACACATCTACAGATATATTTCTCAACCGCAATGAAATTTCTTTCTGTTGCTGTCTGCTTATCGAAACAAAACAATGATTCTACTCTGCGAAGGTTACTATCAACAAAAGTAACAAATATAGATAATATTGTACAAGGACGAATTCATTCCTTTGCTTTTGAGATAAAAGAAAAAATTCTTGAAAATTCTATTTTTTTTTCCTTCTGTTTCTTTTCTTTCTAACGTGAGCTCAATCAACAATTCTTTTGCTCTATAATTTAAATAACCTAAAAAAAAAAATAGACTGAAATAGTTCATTTACGACATGCAAAATGATTTAAAAAAGTCTATTATTTTAGAATAACAATTAATACTCGGTAATTACATCACCAGTTCCATATGTTCTACAAGACGAAAAAAAATAAAAGAATTAATTTTCAATGCGTTTTATGATACCAACCATATTTGTCAAATAATAATTATAACATGTTGTAAAAATAAGAAACCATAAAAATGAGAAAATAACCAGTAGTTATAGTTGTTAGACTTGAAATTATTGTAAACAAACTTAATAACTATTTTTTAAAGTCATAACGTAATAATTTATAAAATTGTGAAATAGTTTTTATGTAAGTATAAGAGATAGTATGTTAAACGGAGGCGAACGGCGAAGAGAAAAAAAACCGAATGTGAAGGTGTTTAAAAGGTAATTATTTATGAAAATAACGAGCATAGGTATTATAGAAAACTTTTTTTGATTATTCAAATAGAAATATCTTGAGAATTCGTTATATTAACCTATTTAAACCAGGTATGCTCTATAATATAGTAAATATCAGTCAAAAGTCCTGAGGTGATGTGACAGCACAATCCATTGAGAAGTTTGTATTTACAAAGTCTAATTCAAACATTTTTTTTTGAAAAAGAAAATAAATCCGTTTAAACTTGTTTCGATTTGAAAAACGTGCAAACGAAAATAAAAAAGCAAACACATTGGGAAAACAATACGCATTTTTATTACAAACGCTAAAATAAAACCATTTCTAATATCGATAGAATCGGCGTCTCATTTTTAGAAGTTTCTCGATTCTCAAATGATCTACTGGCTTGAGACATGAGTCTTCGCTGCTCTGACCCTCCGAGTAGACGCGGATTCGACGTACTCTCTAGAAAAAAAGGGTACGTTCTGAAAATTGCCATTAAATTCATAAGCGTTTTTGAAAAAATGAAAGATTTTGGGAAGAATTTTACAGATCCCTTTCGATTTCTGAACACACTATTGAAATCAAGACTGCTTACGAAAAGATCCTTTTTCAATTTTAAAACGTCTGTCTCCTAATCTCTTTAAGTTTATAAAAGACGATAAGCCCTTATCGGTTTCTGTAAATACGTTTTTGACTTTTTGACAATATAAGAGATATTTATATTACGTTCACACTGTAATATAATGAATCTACTATTATTTCGCGAAAAATTTTGGATTTTTGAGAAAATATACTTTGATTAGAGTAAAATATCCGCTATACATCAAGAGCATTCCTGTAAACCGTCTGAGGAACCCTTTCAGAGAAGTTCTTAACATACAACTATAAGAGTCCCTTTTGAGTTTCTGCATGTTCACAAATCATTTTAACAGGTATTTTCTGAAAAGGATTTCTGAAAAAACAGGATTTTTTTAGGAAGGTATTTTTTAGAGTACTGGCGCACTTTTTTTTTACCTATCAGACATACTCAAAAATATTTCCAGATGCACTCACTACTGCTTTCGAGGACTCGAAAAAACAACGGCTAAGAAAAATGATGGTAAGAGACATATGAGTTTTTTACACAATAGCTCGGCCGTTTCTTTTTTTGGAATATAGAAGAATTCCAAATACGTTTCTCTTCGCCTTTGTAATAAGAGAAAAACTTGTTTAAAAGCTGTTCTCTTATAGTGGTTTGAACATCTTTCTAACTGAAACGCGTTAATTTTTTTCTTTATGAAGAAAAGACATTTATATGAGACCTTTTAAACAAAAACTTTTTAATAGGTAACACCTTAAAAGGTCTGTGTCATTCAGTTTGAAAGTAAGAGAACTGCACATTAAAGAATAATGTGTCGCATCCCATGTAATATTAATCGCTTAAAAATCGGCGGCTTTTATGTGACTTGGCGTTCGATTGTTGCGATTAGTCAACGATATTTTTGCAACTTTTGGCGATGAATCGCGACAATTTTTTTCATATAAAGGAGGTACTAGAATCGAATCATTCTGAGCACGTTTCCCAAAAACATTAGTCTAAAGGAAAAGATTAAACCGAAAAAAAGACAATTACCGTCGAAATTCATGTTTATTATATACTGGATCAGTTGCAAAATAAAACGGTGAATGACTAGGAAACCAAAAATCGGCAACTAATCACAATTAGTCGGTAATGTTTTCAGCAATCGCAATTTGCAAAAGAATCAACGTTTAATCGCGATATATAAAACAGTTGCCGACATACTGCGATTAAACGGCGGCTTTTCAGGAAAGCGCGATAATCGGCGATTTTTAAACAATGTTGAAGACATGGGATGTGCCATAAAACGCGACATATTCGACTGCGACACTGGATGCCAGTAGCAATACATTCTCTGCGACATATACGGTATATTCTTTCAACCGTATAGAAAATAGTGGTGAGACTTAATATTTTTCGTCTCTTATTTGATTTTTAAACTAATTGTAACTTGTTTAGCCGCGCTACGTAATGTCGACGCGACGAATCTATCTGTGATACCCAATGGGCTCAAAAGAGTTTAACTACCCACGTTGTTGAAACCGGACGAAAACCGACGGTTAACCACGGTCATTTTAAGAACCGACGGTTAACCGCGGTTAAAACAGTCGTTTAATCGTTTTTCCGGTTAATTGTGAGGTTAACCGCCGATTTTTCTGCTGTATTGCTATGATTTCAGCTGAAATAACCGCAGTTAACCGTCGGCTCTTAAAATAACCGTGGTTAACCGCCGGTTTCGACAACATGAGATTGAGATATAATTTTGGGAGCATCACCAAGGATCGGACTGGTTATAAAGACTAGGTTAAACTGCATGAAGTTAAACGATGGTCAAAAGTAGGAACAATTAGGTTCCATTTGCCTGAAAGGAAGATGTTAAGTCTTAGAAAACTGCTAAATCAAAGAAATGAGTTATATTTTTCGTTTAATGGCGACATCTATCGCTGCTTCAAGATTAAGTGATGGCAAAGAAATATCAAACGGAGAATGCGAAAGCACACTAAAACAGAGACTGGAGCAAGTAAGGGTGAGGGTTAGTCATTCAGTCTGCATACAATTAGACGCTTTAATTGATGTGAATAAAAGTTCATATGTTAACTTATAAAAATGTTATGAATTCTTCTAAACTAATTATATAATCTGTCTTGCCGAATTTTCATCAGAATCTTATAAGATTCTTGTATGCCTTTGTATAAGAATCTTATCAATATTCTACGCATTTCCATCGACTGCCTTATATCAACTCACTACTACCACAGCTTTAACTTCTTATTTGTAAGACTGATATTTTTCTTGCTGAATAGAATATTTTCGTAATTATAAGACAATAACTTCTTATCTACAGAAATTTCGTTCTCGTTGCAACCTTGTGAGCCCTCAAAAGCTTTTCTTCGTCCCATCGATTTTTCACCTCAAAAAATCTTCTCTGTAGGGGCGAACCCAAGATATCACATCCTCGTCCAGCATTCACCTTTAGAATGAAAATACTCTAGATTAGTGTATCATCGTGTAATAATATTCAGTTGCTTTTTTAGTGGTTCGTTTTTCTATAGACTGAACAATGGGTTGTGGTTCGAGTATCCATCTATCTGCCAAACAAAAACTGCTCACATCATCACTACCGAAGCCAACTACAAATGGCACAGTGACAAAATTAGGGCGACTTCCACCAATCACTAATGAGTCATCTACATTAAGAAGTACCGTAATCACAAAAAATAAACTGACTAAAAATGCCCCATATGACTGTTCTCAAAATTTGGAATCATTTTCCGTCGTTTGGCTTGATCGAAGTATAAAGAAATTCAACGATTTGGATGATATTCAGAAAGAATTACGTGCAATCATCCATTATATTCGACTATTTGATCTTCCGGAAGAATGTGAAGATTACGTGAAAAAACTAAAAGAGGATAATATTTATTTTATTGTTACATCAGAATGTTCGCCGAATATCATTTCACACATACACGATTTGCAACAAATACAAGCCATCTACATCTTCGTGAAACAAAAGAGGAATGACAAAGAACAACGAACAAAACACTATTCAAAGGTAAATTTTAACCGAACTTCTTATCTTTTATTTAAAAACTAGTCATCGCTCTGGCCAGCCATCTCTGCTACCGGAGTGAAATTCCGTAACGATTTTTTTGCATTTTGTTTTTCTTATAATGTTTGAGTAACGAGACGCCTAGAGAT